CCCGCGTCTCCTGCATCGGCAGGCGGACTCTCAAGCACTGCGCCACCAGGGAAGCCCGGGGGGTTCTTTTTGACTAAGTCTAAGCTAGACTTTTCACTTAGAAAAATACCAATCAAATGAAAATACATACTTGAACATGACATTTCACAACTTAACTTTAAAAAAGCATTTTTTTTTTAATGACTTGCATTTTCAGGGATAGCTACTGTAAACTTGATGTAGACTCTGACAGTCTTTAATCTACACTTTTGTCATTGATTTGCCAGATGGAAGACCAAACATTTATAACTGCTCTAAGGAATTCCAAATCTTTTCTGATAGTGAAACTACTTGGAACCTCCATGCTCCAGGAAGCACAGCTTTCTCAGCGTGGTTTAGCAGGAGTCTGCTTGAAGGACTCCAAGTTCCTGGTTTTTAACTGGGTAACATGTGTCCACGCAGTCACAGAAAATAACACCTCAACACAGTTTTATCCACACTTTGCAGATGTCAGCATGAGGGGGACCATCTGGGTAGAAATTCAACCCAATTACGACACACTTCAGGTCTTAATAAAAAGCAGATATCTTTTCTTTCACTCCTGATTCCCAATCGACATATTTCCCATGTGGTTCTAACCGCATGGTTCTAACTAAACTTCATCAGTAACACCTAATGAATTTCAAAAGACATTTGTACCAGGGCATCTTATTTCTATGTGTTCTCTTTGGTATGCATTTTGTTTTTCCTCCTCGACTCTATAATAAATGCATTACAAATGAACTTTTAACTGCTATTAAGGGAGGCCAAAATATACATGCAATTAATATTCACTTGAGTTTACATATGATTACAGACTTTTCAAGAAAGAATAAATTATATATACTTAGGTCTTAACCTAAAATTTACGCTTTGATATGTTAGTAGAAAATTACAAATTTCCTTCTTTAAAATCTTATGCTTTTGACGTTTCTGGACTTTTAAAAAAGAAAAAACAAGTTCTGGAAATCCTCACCCAAAATGCACACAACTAGCAAAGAACTGGAGCATCTTACAGATTAGAGCATAAAAATGCAAATATAAACATTTCTGTTTGCATCTAGGCAAGAAGATGGTCGACCTCAGAGAGAAAGGATCTTGTCACCATGCACTGGGTGATCTTGGGCAATTCATTTAATCTTCTGCAGTTTTAATTTCTTCTCTAAAATTAGGCTGAAAATACCTCCCCCTTTCCTCTTTCACAGGTGATCAAAGTCATAAAGATCACATAGGTAATGTGGAAGTGCTTTATAAGCTGAGAATATACTACAGAATCTCACAGCAATACAACCCTTTAAAAATATCTCTTAATTAGAAACCTGGAAACTCAACCTAAGTTCAAGAATTGGAAGGGACCTCACAGACGCACAAGTCAATGTTCCAAACTGGCCTTCTGCTAGAGAAAATGATGTGACTCTACCTTTGTGGTGCCTAAGGCATCTTTTCTGCTATTATAAGGTTGACCTGTGTAATAACTTGATTAAAAGTGTAAATCGTGGGTTATTTTCCAGCAACAAATTTCTTCGAGACCAAGAATACAAATGAACGGACGTCACTAATTCCATCCCTGATCCAAGGATTACAATAGAGAATAATCCCAGTGTCCCAGGTCTTTCTTTACTGAAATGAGTTGTGATCTAGGTGTATCCTCCTTACCTTGACCTTTGAGGTGGACAAGTCATCTTTTTTTTTTTTTTTGGACACACCATGTGGCTTGCGGGGTTTTCGTTCCCCAATCAGGGACTGAACCCATGACCCTGCAGTGGAAGCACAGCATCCTAACCACTGGACCACCAAGGAATTCCCAAGTCACCTTTTAAAAATTCTGTTTTATTATTTTTATAAATTCACTGATGTAAATCTAATATTACAATGTCATAAAATTCAAATGAGCAACATATATTTGGGTTGATTGTGAAAGTGACCTTTCCCTAATTTCTCACCTTCCTTTTCTGAACGAAAGATTCTTTCATGCCAAACAACCCAACACAGGACTTAGTACTATGCACACTGGTGCTCGACGAACCTTTGATGCACAGGGGATGTTTTTGATTTGATTTGATCTGATCTTTCCTGAAAACAGCCTCCTGTAAAAACTCAGCACAATTTCTGTCCTTCTGAGCTCTCCTTGGTATGGCAAAGGGCTGAGAAGCTGGAACCTGCATTTTCCAGACCCTCTTACAAGTAGGATTCTGGTTGAATGAGAGGCTCCTGGAGAGATCTGGAAAGAGGAGAAGACGGAGAAGCCTTTATTTCCTGGCAGCCACTATAAGCATATGCATGGGGGCATCAGTAGCTGTAGGTTGATGTTCTTCCTGCAGCTCTCAAGTATCCTTTGACGGTCAGGCCTTTTTGCTGCTTCGGGCCGCTGAGATCAAGTCCTGAACTTCCAGATTTCTTGATCTGCAGGCAGAGACCTTCCTAACTTTCACATACCCAGTCTTTCCAATAATCATATAAACCTCTCAGTCCTAATTATAATACTCAAAGTTGGTTTCTATTTCCTGACCAAACTCCCGTGATATGGAGCAATGCATTTAGGATAGGACCACATGTCTTCTGGAACAGAAGGAAGGCACTGTGCGTTGTCAACCCCAGAGAATTCTTGGAAGGGCCAGTGGTTCTGCGAGATGGTGGAGACCATTAGTTACTAAAGCAATACTGTCCTTGGCATATCCCAAACTATGCCAAGAGCTAGGAAGGAGTTTTATAGTGACTGCATGTGACGTAAAGCTTCCCAAGCGCCAGAAGACTATTAACAAAGTTAATAAATATAATCCGGGTGAATTTTTTTCAAGGGAAGAATCAGTATATTTAATATGTAAAAGAGTTCCCAAATCAATAAGAGAAAAAGACTAAACTTCAATAGAAAAAGTTCTAAGGACCTAAACAGGCATTGCAGGGAAGACGAAATCAAATATCTCATAAATTCATGCAGAGATCCTGAACCTCAAATTAAATGCATAATGACTTAATACTTGTCACCTAGCAGTTTGGCAAAAAATATTAATAATCTCTGTTTTCAAGATAATAGCTCAATGCAGCATTTTGGAAGGGCGATTTACAACATATATCAAAGTTTTAAATGTACATTTTTTTGAACAAGGAATTCAACTTCTAGGATTTTGTTCAATAGAAATAATTACACAAATGCTTTAAGATGCAGTGTGAAGATATTTGCTGTCCTGGTTGTGATAGCAAAAAGGAAACATCTTAAATGTTCATAAATAAGGGATTCGAGAAGAAATTCCCGTTATCTATAAAATAGAGTACTATTCAACTATTAAAACATGTATTGGGAGTTTGGGGTTGACATGTATACACTGCTGTCTTTGAAAGAAATAATCAACAGGGACCTACTGTATAGCACAGGGAACTCTGCTCAATATTCTGTAATAACCTAAATGGGGAAAGAATTTGAAAAAGAATAGATACGTGAATATGTATAACTGAATCACTGTGCTACACACCTGAAACTAACACAACATTGTAAATCAACTACACTCCAATATAAAATAAAAGTTAAAATACATATGACAGATTTAGATGCATTGATATAGAATATTGTCTACAAAATATATTTTTCTGCTGTACCGTTTCTGAGGCTTTAAAAAAAAGTATAGAAAGGTATGAGGACTTCATATAACAAACACTTGTATTCCCACCAGGCAGAACTGACAATTGTTAAGTTTTTTCACATTTGCAAACATCACAGTACCCTTCGACATCTATCTCTCCAGTTCCGTCCCCTCCTCATCCAGAGGTGGTCACCATCATGAATGTGATGTGTATACTCCCGGCCATTTAAAAAATAATGTCCATGAATAATATAGAACAGAGGTCTGCAGATATTTTCTATAAAGGACTGATAATAAATATTTCAGGCTTTGCATTCTCTATGGTCTGTCGAAACTATTCATCTCTGCCCTTGTAGCAAGAGCAGCCATAGACAATATGTTTTTTAAAATGGGCTTGGCTGTGTTCCAATAAAACTTTACTTATGGACAGTGAAATTTGAATTTCGTATAAATTTCATGCATCATTTAAATATTATTCTTTAAAACAAATTTCCAATCATTGCAAGGTATAAAAACTACTCTCAGCTTATAGGCATACACAAACAGGTGGTGGGGTCAGATTTTGCTGTAGTTTTGCCAACGATTTACTATTGCGTATTCTTTGTGTGTTCTTTGTTTTAAAAAATTTTTTATAATTAATTTATTTTTTATTTATTTTATTTTTGGCTGCATTGCGTCTTCGTTGCTGTGCGCGGGCTTATTCTAGTTGCAGCGAGCGGGGGCTACTCTCGGTTGCGGTGTGCGGGCTTCTCATTGCGGTGACTTCTCTTGTTGAGGAGCACGGGCTCTAGGTGCGCGGGCTCAGTAGTTGTGGCTCGTGGGCTCTAGAGCGCAGGCTCGATAGTTGTGGCACGTGGCCTTAGTTGCTCCGCAGCATGTGGGATCTTCGCACCAGGGCGCTCGTACCCGTGTCCCCGGCATTGGCTGGCGGATTCTTAACCACTGTGCCACCAGGGAAGTCCCTGTGTGCTCTTTTTAACTCTAGGTGCGCGGGCTCAGTAGTTGTGGCTCGTGGGCTCTAGAGCGCAGGCTCGATAGTTGTGGCACGTGGCCTTAGTTGCTCCGCAGCATGTGGGATCTTCCTGCACCAGGGCTCGTACCCGTGTCCCCGGCATTGGCTGGCGGATTCTTAACC